AAAATGGGAATTAAACCACCACTTCTCTTTTCAATAGTGTCATAGGTAGCCCAGGCTAGCCTTGAACTCACTATAGCTGAGGATAAACTTGAACTTCTGATCTTTCTGCCTCCACTTTCCAAGTGCTGGAATTACAAGTGCTTACCCCTCTACCTATGTATGTGGTGCCAAGGAACAAATTCAGGCTTTGTACATGCTAGACAAGTCACTCTATAAAATGAGCTACATCCCAGGCTCAAACTACAATTTCTAATCAAAGAAGAAAAATGGAGTTATAGAACATAGAAGAACCTGAAATGTATACTGCTAGGTTGCAGAAAACAGTACAAAAGTGTGTATGCAATAATTCCAACTGACACATTAGGCCTGTAGGTGTGGGGGGGGGGGCAGGCGGTGGTGACGGTGTTAGCATTCAAGGATTTAATTAACTATGGGTTGAAAACATTTGAAAATCAAATTCCACAGGTACTGAACATTTATAGAGTTTCTTATTCCCCCCCCAAAAAAATGTATAATAGTTATTTAAAACATTTACACTGTATTAGGTATTACAGATGTAAAGACTGGTTGCCATGGGTCTGGAGGATGATACAGGTATAGATTTTAGAGGAATGAAACCTTTCTTTATGGCTATATATTGACAAGTATATCATCTAATCAATTTGGCAAAATTCACAGAACTGAACCCCACAGAATGAACCCTAATGTAAACTAGGGTGAGTCACCAATGTGTCAGTCCCAGCTCACCACTGTTAACAAACCAGAGGCAGACACAGTGGTACATATCTATAATCCAAGTACTCAAGAGGCTAAGGCAGAAGACTCTTGCATTCTAGGTTAGCCTGGATAGGTATCAAAACGGTCATAAACAGACAAACAAGTTAGATTTTACTAAGATTAACAAAGGTCAGGAAATGTCACTGTCCAAAACCCAGACATGACAACACAGACCAGGAGACGTTATGCTAAAACAGCAGGCCTCTGCCTCCCAAGTGTTGGGATTAAAGGCGCCGCCACCACCTACTGGCTCCCTTTTCATCTTTTTTTTTTTTTTTTTTTGGTTTTTCGAGACAGGGTTTCTCTGTGTAGCTTTGCGCCTTTCCTGGAGCTCACTTGGTAGCCCAGGCTGGCCTTGAACTCACAGAGATCCACCTGGCTCTGCCTCCCGAGTGCTGGGATTAAAGGCGTGCGCCACCAACGCCCGGCTCCCTTTTCATCTTTTAAGAGTAGAATTTGATGGCAGTGTCAAGGGTATTGCACTAGCTACCTTGAAGTGAAGTCACCTTTGATTATAAGCAGCTTTTGTTTTTATAGGCAATATTAATCACTGTTAGATTTGGGCCTAACCCAGTTAAGTTTTGAATAATCAACAGTTTTAGGGACTTGTTGAACAGACAAACCAAACCAACTACATAGCCTTTTGACAGAAAGTGGCAAAGATGCGGGCGGTGGTGGCACACTCCTTTAATCCCAGCACTAGGGAGGCAGAGGCAGGCGTATCTCTGTGAGTTTGAGGCCAGCCTGGTCTACAGAGAGAGATCCAGGACAGGCACCAAAACTACACGGAGAAACCCTGTCTTGAAAAACAAACAAAGAAACAAACAACAACAATAAAAAAGTGGCAAAGAACTAACAACTTCCTAGAAACAATGCAGGGCAGCACAACCTGTTAACCAGTCTGTGCTCTAATGGTTTACCTAGTGAAGAAACATCAAAAGCTAATTGCTCCTTGGGTAGGAGTGGAAATCCAGCAAATGCACAATAAACCGTATTGATCTGCTTCTGTGAACCTTGGCTTTCTCTGAGCTAACTTATTTTCTAACATTTTCATGGGCCTTTTTTTTTGTTGTTGTTGTTTGAGACAGGATTTTTCTGTGTAACAGCCCTGGCTGTTTTGGAACTCACTTTGTAGACCAGGCTAGCCTCAAATCATAGAGATCTGCCTGCCTCTGCTTCCTAAATGCTGGGATTAAAGGCTTGTGCCACCACTGCCTGGCTAGCTTTTAACATTTATTGATTTAACAGGCAGGTTATGAGATTTCAGAAGGTCTTCTCAGAGCCAGCCATAACAACTCCCCTAGTGCTACAGTTTAGTCAGAATACATAAGAGCTGTGTGTAAAACACCCATGTCAGAACAAAATATTTTAATAGTCCATGCTAAATCCAATTTTCCCTGCTTGAAATAAAATCTAGGGGGAAAACCAATTCCAGTTCTCAAATGCTATTTATCTCACAAGAGAATGGTGTGTGTATTCGGGGGACTTCCAAGAGTCTCCCCCTTGATCAGTTTACCTTTCGTGATGACTCACCTTCCATGCACTCATTCACAGACTCATAGTCAGCGTAAGTCCTGCCTTCTGGTCTCTTGGTAGGCTGTACCAACAAAATGGTGTGAGACTGAAAGAGAAAAACAATTTCAATGTATATCCTAATATGTATTTCAGAAATTCACATAACATAAGGCCTTTGCGTATGACACAAATGCTATTTATTAGAACATAATTAACTAGGTTGCTCTTCCTACAATACGGAAGCCTCTGTCCATGTTATCAGTGCTGGGCTGACAAACCCCCTAAGTCAGCCCCTTACTCTGGGTCATTTCTCCAACTCCAAATTTACGTGCCAGCAAGTACTCACAAAAGCTACCATGTACTCTCTTCTATCTCTCCTTGCCAACCATTAAAACCTGTTTTCTGTTGCCACTGGTCTCTAGTTCTATTAGCTCTCAGTAAAAACTAAGACATGAGGTGATAAAGAGAGAGGAAGAGGGGAATACCATAACCATTCTATCAACCTAAGGTCTTTTTCCAATTGGAGCACAACAGTGTAACCTCACTTTTATTCAGGAGTTACTCTCACATCAAGGTGTAAGATAAATTAGTAATATAAAATGAATACAGTTAATACCAGCCTTAAGTGGAATCCTGGTCCTCAGGAAGAGGAGGAAGAGGAGCCAATGCTCCTTCACTAAGCTGACACTCCAGATACACTTCTTACGAGCTGGGTGGTGCACACGCCTTTAATCCCAGCACTAGAGAGGCAGAGCCAGGCGGATCTCTGTGGGGTTCGAGGCCAACCTGGTCTATAGAGTGAGATCCAGGATAGGCACCAAAATTTAAACTATCAACAAATTGGAACCAAGATGTCTTAAGATCTAGGTTTTCTGGATAAAAAACAGTACTTTAAATCACGGGATTAGATGTGTTTTATAGGGGTTCATAAAGGCCAGCTACTCAAAGCACTTTCAGTATATCACTTGTTGAGAAGAAAATAGTCTTATGAGAACTATATTTATACTATTGCAGTGGCTTATCCTAAACAAGCTATTCATTCTTTGCCACATTTTTAAAATTTTAAGTCAAATTAAGAAATAATTTGAGAGCCGCGCGGTGGTGGCACACGCCTTTAATCCCAGCCCTCAGGAGGCAGAGCCAGGTGGATCTCTGTGAGTTCGAGGCCAGCTTGATCTACAGAGCGAGTTCCATCCAGGACAAGCACCAAAGCTACACAGAGAAACCCTGTCTCAAAACACACACAATTTTTTTTTTAAGAATACCATTTGAAAAGTGTATACACACAATCCTGCTCCAAGTAAATCCCGTGAACCTCTCCTTTGTTTGTTTACTAAAGAACAGGAGGGCTGGGGTACTGGAGAGATGGCTCTGTGGTTAAGAGCACAAGCTGCTCTTCCAAGGAACCAGTTTTTCAGTTTCCTGCCCCTACAGAGTTGCTCACAATCATCTGTAATTCCAATTCTAGGGTACCGGACGTCCTGTTCTGCCTGCCGCAGGCACTGAACGCAAGTGGCACAGACATGCAGGCAAAACACCAATACGCAGAAAAAGAAATCTTTTAAGACTCCCAGAAGCAAAACAACAATACACGAGAGGATTGAAGAGAGAGCTCAGTGGTTAAGAGCACGTGCTACTCTCACAAAGGACCCGAGTTTGGTTCCCAGCACCCACATCCGCATGTTCTAACTCCAGATCCTGGGGATCCCACACTCTTCTGGCTTCAGCGGGCTCCTGCACTCGACATGCATAAACACAGACACATAATCTAACGAACAAAACAAAAAACCTTTACAGACCGTATAAACCATACTTTACTACATCCCTGTCAGATTCTAGAGCCAGGACCCTGGAAGTCTCTTTTCAGGCTCCACTCTCAAGAAAAGGAAAGTAAGAACGAGACCGAAGGCAAACCGGGGCAACTGAGGATACCGCAAAAGGGAAAAATACTTTTTTTTGGAACACTGCGGGGACGGCTGAGGAGGCGCACTGCAAAGAAAACCCGACCCCCACCACCCACCACCAGCCCCACATGCGACGAACAGTAAGGTGACGAGTGTGTCAGTTTCAGAAAAGGCCATTGTTCCGACGGTCCGCCTCGGAAGAGAAAGAGCCCGTACCCCACGCCTCCCTCTTGCAGGCGGCCGCGATCCGCGGACAGGGCACCCTCTGCCCACCCACCGCACCCCTCGCCCCCACCAGCAGGCGGGCGCGCAGCCGCAGGGCGGACCCGGCCCGGGGCCTACGGCGAGGCCCCGCGTCTCGGCGTCGGGAAGGGGAAGGGGCGATCCGCGAGCTGGGGGGGGGGGAGAAGCGGGGAGCAGCTCGCTCGCTCGCGCTGGATGGGCGGGGGCCTGAGGAGTGGGGAGATGTCCGGAGCCGGGGTGGCCCCACAAGCCGGGGGCCCCGGCCACCGCGGAGGACTCACCATCGCGCCAAACGCTTTGCTGCAGCCGCCGCTAACACCGCCGCCGCCGCACACGAGCTCAGCCGCAACGCCGCCAACAGCCAATCCCGCGAGAGCGCTCGCCGGAAATCGTCGGAAGCGCGACGCGAAAAGAGCCTCTTTGGACCGTCGAGCGTCGCACGTTTCCGGTTTCTAGAGCGGATATTGACTCCGTTTCAGCCATCTTGGGTGAGGGCGCGGCGATGCGTACGATGGAGTTCTGCCGCTTCAGAAACAGTAGTTCGCTTCGGGACGCTGCCTTCTGTACTTCAGTTCGCCGACGGGTGACCGAAATGATGGCGAACACAGCAGGGACACTAGTCTTTTTTTTTCTTCTTTTTTTTTAAACCTTTCTAAAAAATGGCGGCAATATAACTACCGCGGCCGATAGGTCCGTTGTAACCCGGAAGTGCCCTGCTAAAGAGGGGGCGGTGAGACAATCCGGAAGTGGGAGGAATGAAGAGGTGCCACTTGGCGGCCATGGCAGCTGTAGTATTGGCGACTCAGGGTCAGGGCCTGGCTGAGGGAAGTACCATGGGCAGCACCCGGTGTCGGGCGGAGACAGCGTTGTACCGACTTTGCTGTTGAGTCCTCGGGGCCCGGTGCTGACTTGGGGGGCAGCTGGCTCGGCGCTAGACTTGGAAGGGAGTTTGGTGGGCTGGTCCCTGGGGGCGGATCACCTGCGGGGCCCGCCACCCTAGGGAACCAGGTGCCGGCCGAGGTGAAGACACTGAGCTTTACTTTTTACCTGCTGCTACCAGGCACACTGTCTAGGGGGAGCGGGCCGTTCTGCCCACCCTCACTCCGAAGACCGAAGAGATCTCTGTCGCACGGTGTCTCCCATCTGTTACCCTACCGGAATCCCGGTGATTGGCACCCAAGAACCTGAGATTGAGCAAAGTTTTTCTCCGGTGCTAGTATCGGCCCAAAGGAGCCTGCTTCTTAGTACGCAGGAGAGCAGCCTGATTCGTGAACACCACCGGCTGGTGGCAAGGTTGAAAAAAAAGTGGGAAACTCCCTTGTTCTCTTGGAAAAACCACACGTTTAAAGAGCCTAAGCGCCTTTTCAAACCGCTGGGATTTTGAAGCCTGGTGGTAGAGGGTGACTACAGGAGGGCAGAATGGATGATTTTCTCTCCATTAGTCTGCTGTCTTTGGCCATGTTGGTGGGATGTTACGTGGCTGGAATCATTCCTTTGGCTGTTAATTTCTCAGAGGTAAGAAATTCTCGGGTTTTTTTTTTTTTTTTTTTTTTTTGGCCAAGCGTTAGGACGGTGCTAGACATAGTGGTATTTGCAAAGAGACGCTGTTTCTCAGCTCTAAGGTCTCATTAAGGAAAAGATGTAACCGTTCACAGTAGAAACAAAGTTTACATTCAGTTCTATAAATATTTTGTTTGTTTCTTTTGTTTTTATTTTTTTTGTTTTTATTTTATGTACTTTGGTGTTTTGCTCACATGTAGGTCTGTGTGAGGGTGCCAGATCTCCTGGATCCGGAGTTATAGACAGCAGTGAGCTGCTTTGTGGGTGCTTTGGAAGAGTAGCCAGTGCTCTTAACCCCTGAGCCATCTCTCCAGCCCCTTGTTTTTGTTTGTTAAAACAGGGTTTCTCTGTGTAGCTGTTGCTGTCCTGGAACTCACAGAGATCCACTTGCCTCTGCCTCCCAAATGCTAGGATTAAAGGCGTGTGCCTCCACCTCCCAGCTCTGCTCTATAAATTTTAACTGAGAGTAGTGGATAATCCCCTGAAGAACCTGGAGTGTTCACACTCCTCTGAAAACTCTATACAAAAAAACTGGGGCTCTGTGCATTTTCCTAGAGAGAGGCACGGTACTTACATTCTGATGGTTCCCGGAGGTGTCAAGAGACCAAGGTACCAGATAAAAACAAATGGAGACGATGACTTTGTCCATGTGAGTCAAAATCAGTATAACAATTTCTTGAGAAATTATGGATTTTTTTTTTTTTTGAGGAAAGCTTAGTTGTCAGTACTACAATCAGTGTGACAAAAAACAAGACAAAACAAAACAAAAAACCACCAAACCAAACCAAACAAACAAAAAACTAAAGTCGGTTGTTATTATCATTTTCTTTCAAAGAAGCCAAGAACTGGAATGGATATTCTGAGATTATTTTCAAATCTGTTTGCTTAGCAATAACTTTTTGGTTAATATGTGTGGACACTGGTTCATTAGGTTGTCTTCCCTTGAACAGGCTAGCTGAAGGGGAGAGAGGACACGCACATCTATTCTTTAGATTGTTGCAGCAAAAAGTTCCCTAGGTGCACAGTGCTCAAAGGTTTAGGGAGAAAAACTACTCTATTCAAGAGAATTTCAGGGTTTTCCTCAAGATCAGCACTGAAATAAGCCCTTGCCTCACTTCTGTTCCTGAAAGGACTAATTTCCTCAAAGGAAGATGAGGGATAGATGAGGCGTGAGGTAGGCCTTGAGGAGAGTCAGAAGAAAAGGCATTAATGGGGAAAAACCCAGCCTGGGGTGGAGAGGGTGGTGAGGCAGGCAGCAGGCAAGATCAGCCTTCAGCCAGGGAAAGGGACGCTTCACTTGGACGGGCTCTCCCTTTTCCATTGCGTTTTCATTTGTGCCCCTTTGGGATATAATTATAACATGAAGACATTTCATTTTATTTTGTATATATGTTATGGTTATTTTGCCTACATGTTTATCTGTGTACCACATGCATGACTGGTGTCATTGGAGGCCAGAAGTCATGGGGTCCCCCTGAAACTGGAGTTAAAAAGGGTTGTGAGCCACCCTGTGGGTGCTGGGAATTGAACCCGGGTCCTCTGGAAGAACAGGCAGTGCTTTTAACTGCTGCGCCATCTCCATCTCTCCAACCCCTAACGATAACACTTTTTAAAAAAGTTATATATTACCTAACGACTCACTGAAAGGGCTGGGGTATAGCCAGATAATGTTTGCCTAGAGCATGCAAGGCCTAGGTGTGGTATCTAGTACAGTCACAGGCAAAACCCACAGCAGACTCCCTGAGCTACAACAAGGAAACAGGCTGAGTAACTTGAAAAGTTCACCAGGTATCTTGGAATGGGCTGCTCTGACTCAGAGCTGTTCTCAGCCACTGTCCATCGTGGCAAGGGTACATAGTACATGTACTACGTAGCTCATAGACAGATCCAGCCCACAGACTTACTGTTAGATTAGCATATTTAAATTTTTGTTACTGTTTTTTCTCATGTCTTCTGTCAAGATAGCAGAGGCCGCTGGACAGTGGTGGTGCACGCCTTTAATCCCAGCACTTGGGAGGCAGAGGCAGGCGGATCTCTGTGAGTTCGAGGCAAGCCTGGGCTACAGAGTGAGTTCCAGGAAAGGTGCAAAGCTACCCAGAGAAACCCTGTCTCGGAAAACCAAAAGGAAAAAGAAAAGAAAAAAAAAAGACAGCAGAGGCTTCTCCTTGACCAATGAAGCTTCTCTTTGGGTTACTTTCCTGCCTAGGCTTTCTGAACCTCCTGTTTTTCCTCCAACATAATATATTTTCTTTCTTTCTTTTAAAATATGTTTTTATTTTATATGTGTGAGTATTTTGTGTACCTGGTGCTCTTGGAGACCAGAAGAGAGCATCAGATTCCTTAGAACTAGTTTAACAGATGATTATGATCCACCATATTGGGCTGGGAATAGAACTCCGGTCTACTGGAAGAGCAGAGTGCTCTTAACCACTGAACCATCTCTCCAGACAGCCTATGTCTTCTTATACTTGTTTTAGAATTGGATTGGTGTTATTAGGATGACATTTGTGAGGCTTGGATTGGTTTGTATATTTAAATATTTTAATTGAGGTAAAATTTATTTATTTTTGTTATTTTGATACAAGGTCTCACTGTATAGCTCTGGCAGGGATCTACCTGCCTACCTATTTCTCCCAAGGATTAAAGGTGTGAACCACTAGGCCTGGCCTAACTAGGGTAAAATTCAAGTAAGCAATTTATAGTTTGGTTTTAGCTTTTTGTTTTGGTTTGTTGTGATAGGGTTTCTTTGTGTAGCAGCTCTGATTGCCCTGGAACTTATTTTGTAGAACAGGCTGATCTTGAACTTGCAGAGATCCAACTGTCTTTGCCTCCCAAAACTTGGGAGTAAAGGCATGAACCACCATGCCTGGTGAGTTTTCTTTTTCTCAAACTTAGTTTTTGAAATTTTTGTTTGTTTACTTACTTACTTACTTACTTACTTACTTACTTATTTATTTATTTATTTATTTATTTATTTATTTATACCTACACAAACCCACAGAGATAGGGTTTCTCTGTGTAGCCCTGGATGTCATAGAACTTGCTCTGTAGACCAGGCTGGCTCAGAGATCTGCCTGCCTCTGCCTCCCAAGTGCTGGGATTAAAGGTATGCACCACCACAGTCTGGCTGTTTTTTGAGGCAGGGTTTCTCTGTGTAACAGCCCTGGCTGTCCTGAAATTCACTCTGTAGACTAGGCTGGCTTTGAACTCGCAAGGATCCACCTATCTCTGCCTCCCTAAGGCTGGGATTAAAAATATACACCTCCATGCCCTCTGAAGAATTTCTCAGAACAGAAATAAAGTTAGATGACTAATGGAACCATTAATTCTTACAGCACTAGTGCTCTGAAGTTGCTGTAGCAGAGGCCACTTGTTACAGCTGACATTAGAAAGTGTACAGCATTGATTCCTCCCACTTTCTCCTCATCTGCAAACCACCCTTCTTCATGCTTGTGTGGCTTTCTTTGCCCTTAGCCCTGGAGACTGTACCTTCATGAATTTTTGATTTATGAAACAAAGAACAATTTTAATTGTCAAATTAATTATATATAACTATGGTAATGAAGATGCTAATTTTTCAGCATATGGGGAAGTGAAAAACTAGTCTTGTGATGGAGGCCATAGCTGGCCTTCCATAAATGAGGTCCTGTGTGGCATCTTGTATTTTTTTAGATTCAGTTGCCTAGGAGCAGCTTGCTTTGGCAGTTAGTAACAATGCTGTGGAAACAGACTGAGCCTATCTTACCTAGTTTACACTCAGCAGCTGCCCTGATCGATGCATGAAGTAGATAAAAATGGCCAGAGTAGGATTTTAGGTTGATTGCCTGAGGATTATTTTTGTTTTAAATTTCCATTCCAATCCAGACCAGTACATTTGCAAAATTGAAATGAAATGGAACAAAAGACTAGCAAATGCCATCCCACAGGTGTTAGTAGAGTCAGCAGACGTAAAGTTATTCCTGTACTTGTAATAACTATATTGTTATAAAAGTTTCTGAAGCCAGGCAGTGGTCCGCACGCCTTTAATCCCGGCACTCTGGAAGGCAGAACCAGGCGGATCTCTATGAGTTCGAGGCCAGCCTGGGCTACAGAGTGAGTTCTAGGACAGGCACCAAAGCTACACACAGAGAAACCCTATCTTGAAAGTTTCCGAATACTTTGAGTTTGGGGACTCTTTTGTGTGAGAGCAGTTTGAGTTTTCATCTGTTGAGACAGTGTGAGTCCATAGTAGAGAAATGAGGATAGTGCTTGTGTTACGATGATTTTAGAGCTCAGTGCAACTAACTCCCGATCTCAGAGAGACGACACACTAGGTCACTTGGTATCATCAGGACAGGCCTGGAATCCCAGCATCAGAGACTGAGGCAGGAAGATCACAGGTTTGAGGCCCAGCCTCTGCTGCATAGTGAGTTTCTAGTACTGAAAGACATTATGTTTCAAAAACCAAAACAAGAGGGAAGAGCAGCCAGGCAGTGGTGGCGCATGCCTTTAATCCCAGCACTCAGGAGGCTGAGGCAGGTGGATCTCTTTGAGTTCGAGGCCAGCCTGGTCTACAGAGTGAGTTCCAGGAAAGGTGCAAAGCTACACAGAGAAACCCTGTCTCGGGGAAAAAAAAAAAAAAAGAGGAAGAGCACACCAATTGGTTATTCAATACCATATGGTCATCCCTGTAGGAATACATACAAGAGAGGTTATACAGACTGACCAGGTTATATTCAGGAATATATATGTATATACTTATACATGTATACATGCAATAACAGTGAAAAAAGACATGAGTTTGAAGAGAGCTAGGAGGAGTATATGGAAGGATTTGCAGGGAAGGAAGAAACGTAATTACATCATAATCTCAAAAACAATAACACAAATCTAAATCAGTGTCATTGTTTGAGCCAGCAGTTCAACAGGCAGCTATCGTCTGTGCTAGTCTTACAGACTGCTGTAAGGCTGGAGTG